ACTGGAAGAAGAGCAAACAAAAAGTAGCATGTTACAGATGTGGGCCAATGATTGCTAACCTGACATATCCATGATCTTTGATGGATCAAGCAGATGTTTCCATGATCTAGTCTATGTAAGTAAATGCTGTTCAGGCGATGCAAGTTCTCCAAATCATACTTAATAATGCAGCCTACATCCATTAAAAACAGAACAGAGTTGGTCCACTATTATATTGATTCTGCCATTGCCACCCTCAGTCACTTCTCTATCCACACCCTGCAGTAAGTTCATCATATAAGTACCTGGCTGGCATGGACATCCCAGGTGGGTTCAGTGAGGCCATTTTGTAGCTGAATGTGACCGTGTTTGTTCATTTGCTCATGATAGGTTCTACATTCATTGGGGGGTTATTTTCCTCTATGTATGTATGGCTTTGCTTGACCATTTTGCATCTCCCTCTGATGCCCTTTTCTTGTCAAGGTTATATGGCATGACAACTCTTCAGGGAAGTTTCAGACAGAATTTTTAGGTTAGTGCTCTACTTACTGGTTATATAGATGTATGCATATTATATGTACTACTCTGAGGATGCCTTGGCCATAAAGTTCCTGATTGCTGCCATATGGTGAGTTGGGCTGCACTGGGGTGGCTGTCAATTTTTTTCATGAAAAGTCAGGATTCTTGATACCTTACAAGTGTTGTTCAGTGAGTACTTGATACTTCCAAGTGAATGCATTACTAAGGACCCATTAGTGTGTCACACACTGTGAATCAAAGTGTGGTTCAGTGGTGAAAACCAACCAAAACCAACACAAAAGACAAAAAGAGCAAGTGGGGGTGTGCCTATGTGGTACCTAGATGGTAGAACCTTTGACCTGGGTGGGTTTTTGCAAGCTACAACACTCAAGGATGAGTGCTGAGGGTTGGGGGTGCTCCTGATGAAGAGGGAGCAAGAATGCAATAGAAAGTGATAGGGTAGACTGCTGTCAGCCTACAGAAGGATGGATGGTGACTTAATTCGATGTTCTAAGCTGCACTGAGCTCAGGGAGGGCCTGGAGTGAAGTACATTGATGATAGACAAGGATAAGCGAAGTAGATGATAGTTAGACCCTTAATAAAGTCTCAACTATCAAAGCTGCTGAATGAATTACTGAGTGATGATAAAATGTGAGCAAGAGGGGCTCTCTGATGTCTTCTTTTTTTGCTACCTAAGTACAGTGATCTATATACAGTACAGGGGTGTTGCCCTTGGAAAACAAGGTGCAAACACTTGGTAAGTGATTGGTAACTGATGAGTAAGGAATGTAAGCAATGGGTAATCATCTTGGAAAGCATTGGTAAGCGTTGGTAAGGACAAGCAAGCCAAAAGGCAAAGGATCAGTAAGCAAAGTCAAAAGATTGGTAAGTATTGGCAATAGGTGAGTCAAAGACAGTCAAAACATCAAAGTATGAGTCAAGTAATGTAAGGAACTGGGAAAGCACACTGGAATCACATTAGGGGGAGGCTGTGCATGTCACATCTTGAAGAGATCACTTCTAGGCCTAGGTGGGGATGACAGAGTGGCAGCACTGATCTGATGCTGATATAGTACATCCAAAAGTGGACAGGGTGAGTCAGATGTCAACAGGGGTCAAGCTTTGGGGGTCTGTGGGGTGACAGGAGCATAGGGGATTGCAACTTTCCCCCCCAAACCATCCTCTCAGTGAAGCAAATAAAAACTTCATGAACAAGGCTCTGTTGGAAGAGAGGATGAATGGGGAGTGTCTTCTGCCATATCTTGCAACAAGGAGGCAAGATGTGCATCATACTCATCATGGATGCAATCAGGGAGAGTGGAGAACAGTAGATTATACTGTAGCTGTCGCAATCTTGGAAGAATGATAGATGAGACTGGTATGAAGACATTGCAGGGAGCAGGGAGGAAGGATCCATGTGCTTCTTGGACTGGAGAGACTGAAACAACCACATAAGACCTTTCCAAGCAAATGACAGACCTGAGGCAACCAAAGAATGTCCTCCTAGAGGTCATACTGACAAAAAGAACATGCTGTCCAAGCTGGATGGGCTGAGAGGGCACAGACAAGGGTGGAATGTACCAGGATGCTTCAGGATGGAAGCTGGAAGGAATTCCTTGCAGATATACATAGCCATGGTCCCTAGCAAAGGGGACAAGCAAAATGATTGACATGGAGGCAGCCATATCAGAAGAATTTAGCAAAATGAGCATCTTTTGGAGGGAGTGCTGCAGAAATGTGTGGAGTGTGCAAATCCTTTCCAATTTTGGAAGGTAAGATTGTGTGGCTGAGCACTACAAGCGAGTGTGGGAATGGTCTTGGTATCTGCAGAAATGGTGGAAATATGTCAAAAACCAGAATGCTATACATGGGCACTTAAGAATTTTAATCAGTGCTTAACTTGCTCCCTTTCTTTTTCTTTGGCACTGATGACTTGTTCATGTGTGAGGGATGACTGCCAACATTTCTGGGTGTCTTTCTTCACATGAGGGCTATGGTCTTCATCTCCATTCATCAGCTGTATCCATGTCCACCTCACCAAACACCTTTGGTGTGTGACAACACTGCAGTACTGCCTGGTGACACCAATAGTGGTGCTCAAGGTGGCTTTGGAAGCACTCTGGAAGCACTCTGGAAGTGGCAAATTTGAGAGAAATGCCATCACAGAGTTTGAAAATTATGCCTCCCTATCAACAACACCCTCGATGGTCTGCTTGCCTGCAGTCACTCTTATCAAAACCCATGGCTTCATTGAGTGGACAAGCTCATCGAGGAAGGCCTTCTGTAACTGTGACTACTGGTGGTGGATCATCCTCACAAGTACCTGGGAGTGGGAGTAAAGGGAAGGGCCCAGCATCCAACAAGCAGCTGGCAGCTGACTCCTCAATGGAAAGTACCCAGCCAAAAAACATCAATTGGGATACTCCTCATACTGAAATACTTGTCCAGTGGCTTCTTAGCCATCCTGCTAACTGCAGGATTCTTTTCAGAAACAAAAACTCAGGTGACTTACCCCCATCATTATCATCTACTTCAACTGAGAGACCAGTGGGCCACAACAAGAAGGAGGTCCAAGTGATGATCACCCAAGCCATTTTTGAGGATGACAGTGTCTACAAGGACATGTACACAGTGAGTGCTGCCAAGTTTCAAGTCAGTGTGGGCAACCGTTGTCACACACCAAAGGTGTTTGGTGAGGTGGACATGGATGTAGCTGATGAATGGAGGTGAAGACCATAGCCCTCATGCGAAGAAGGACAGCCAGCAATGTCGGCAGTCATCCCTCGCATAAGAACAGGTTGTCGGTGCCAAAGAAAAAGGAGGAGGCAGGTTAAGCGCCAATAAAGTTCTTAAGCGCCCATGTACAGCATTCCAGTTTTTGACATATCTCCACCAATTCTGCAGACACCAAAACCATTCCCACACTCGCTTGTAGTGCTCAGCCACGCAATCCTACCTTCCAAGATTGGAAAGGATTTGTGCACTCCACACGTTTCTACAGCACTCCCTCCAAAAGACACTCATTTTGCTAATTCTTCTGATATGGCTGCCTCCACATCAGTCATTTCGCTTGTCCCCTTTGCTAGGGACCATGGCTACATATATCTACCAGGAGTTCCTACCAGCTTCCGTCCTGAAGCATCCTGGTACATCCCACCCTCATCTGCCCCCTCTCAGCCCATCCAGCTTGGACAGCGTGTTCTTTTTGTCAGTATGACCTCCAGGAGGACGTTCTTTGGTTGCCTCAGGTCTGTCATTCGCTTGGAAAGGTCTTATGTGGTCGTTTCAGTCTCTCCAGTCCAAGAAGCATATGGATCCTTCCTCCCTGCCCCCTGCAACATCTTCATAACAGTCTCGTCCATCATTCTTCCAAAATTGCGACAGCTACAGTATAATCTACTGTTCTCCACTCTTCCTGATCGCATCCATGACGAGTATGATGCACATCTTGCCTCCTTGTTGCAAGATACAGCAGAAGACGCTCCCCCTTCATCCTCTCTTCCAACAGAGCCTCGTTCATGAAGTTTTTATTTGCTTCACTGAGAGGATGGTTTGGGGGGGAAAGTTGCAATCCCCTATGCTCCTGTCACCCCACAGACCCCCAAAGCTTGACCCCTGTTGACATCTGACTCACCCTGTCTGCTTTTGGATGTACTATATCGGCATCAGATCAGCACTGCCTCTCTGTCATCCCACTTTGGCCTAGAAGCGATCTCTTCAAGATGTGACATGCACAGCCTCCCCCTAATGTGATTCCAGTGCGCTTTCTTGGTTCCTGACATTGCTTGACTCATACTTTGACATTCTGACTGTCTTTGACTCACCTATTGCCAATACTTACCAATCTTTTGACTTTGCTTACTGATTCTTCACTTTTTGGCTTACTTATCCTTACCAATGCTTACCAATGCTTTCCAAGATGATTACCCATTGCTTACATTCCTTACTCATCAGTTACCAATTGCTTACCAGGTGTTTGCACCTTGTTTTCCATAGGCAACACCCCTGTACTGCATATAAGTCACTGTACTTAGGTAGCAAAAAAAGAAGACATCAGAGAGCCCCTCTTGCTCACAATTTATCATCTCTCAGTAAATCATTCATCAGCTTTGATAGTTGAGACTTTATTAAGGGTCTAGCTATCATCTACTTTGCTTATCATCATCTATCATCCATATACTTCACCCCAAGCCCTCCCTGAGCTCAGTGCAGCTTAGGACATTGAATTAAGTCACCATCCATCCTTCTGTGGGCTGAAAGCAGTCTACCCTATCACTTTCTATCACATTCTTGCTCCCTCTTCATCAGGAGCACCCCCAACCCTCAGCACTCATCTTTGAGTGTTGTAGCTTGCAAAAACCCTCCCAAAGAACAGGTTCTACCATCTAGGTACTGCATAGGCACACCACCACTCGCTTTCATTGTCTTTTGTGTTGGTTTTGGTTGGTTTTCACCACTGAACCTCACTTTGACTCACAACGATTACCCAGATTTTGTTCATATGGCATTTGACACATGGGGGCCAACCACAGATGACTTTGAGGGCACAGCTAAAATGTTTGGACTTGGCCCAATGTTTATGGACAAATTTAATGGTGACCAGTTCAGCAACCTACAGGCATCAAATCTGTACTACCCCTTCAACTCCCACAATGAATGGGAGCTGGCATCATGGTTACTTTGTTCAGGCCTGAGCATGAGAGCTATAGACTCTTTCTTGTCATTGTCAATTGTAAGCCTGTTCCTATTCTCTCCAAAGATCATTATTGACATGTGCCAGATACAGCTACTAAATATTTCCTTTTGTACAGCCAGAGCACTTCATGGGCTGGCTGAGTTACTCCCTGGCAGGCCATGCTGGCACTCAATGGAGATTACTCCTTCACAGCCAACCAAACACCCTGTGCACTTGTACTGGCATGATCCCCTGGAATGCATTGCATGGCTCCTCAACCACCCTTTGTTCTCTGACCAGCTTGATTTTGTTCCAAGGCATGTATACAAAATGCCCAAGAAGCTTTGTAGGGTGTATACAGAGTGGATGACCACTGATGATGCTTGGTGTATGCAGGTATGTTTCCACTGCGAGTTATAGATCCTTTTATTCAATTGATGTACCCCAGTCACAGCTTCCAAGTGGAGTGACTCTTCTTGGCATGATACTTTCTTCAGACAAGATGAATATTACTACTTTATGTGGTGGCAGAGTTGCTCATCCACTTCTTGTCAGCCTAGCAAATATCAAGATGTCCACACACCTAAAATTGTCATCCAACTCATTTATGCTTGCTGCTCTCCTCCCTGTCCCCAAGTTCATGCACAAGAACAAGCATATGTGTGGCCTCCTTGAAGATAGGCTCATTCATGAATGCCTGGATATTGTACTTGAACCTGTCAAGCAAGCTGCCAAACTTGGCATTATGTTACCAGATTCTCTGGGGCACATGCAGTACTGTTTCATGCCAATCACAGGTTATATCGCCAACACTGCCGAGGCTGCCATGCTTGCAGCTGTTGGGGGAAAGACTTCCCTAATCACCATGGCAATGTACAAACAGTTCAGAGACCCATTCCAACATGAGCCACAAACTGCATCCACCACTTTGGCTCAGCTTGCAGCGATGAAATCGAAGGTCCACCCTACAAATATCCAAGTCTTCTTTCATGAAGCACAGTGCTTTCACCTCAGCAGAGTTGGTGACCCATTTTGGAGGGACATTCCACTTTCTTGTCCAAGCACTTTTATAACTCCAGAGCCCCTTCACCACCTGCACAAGGAATTTTGGGACCACAACATGAAGTGGTGCATAAATGTGGTTGGTGAAGCCAAAATCGACTTTCACTTCTCAGTTTTACAGCCTACTGTGGGGTTCTGTCACTTTAAAGGTGGTGTTGCTAAGCTGAAGCAGGTGACTGGATGCATGCACTGTAATGTCCAACATTACATCATTGGTGTTATCGCTGGAGCAGCCCCTCCCAAAATTATTACTGCTATTCATTGTCACACACCAAAGGTGTTTGGTGAGGTGGACATGGATACAGCTGATGAACGGAGATGAAGACCATAGCCCTAATGTGAAGAAGGACACCCAGAAATGTTGGCAGTCATCCCTCACACAAGAACAAGTCATCAGTGCCAGAGAAAAAGAAAGGGAGCAAGTTAAGTGCTGGCTAAAATTCTTAAGTGCCCATGTATGGCATTCTGGTTTTCAACATATCTCTGCCCTTTCTGCAGATACAGAGACCATTCCCACACTCACTTGTAGTGCTCAGCCATGTGATCTTACCTTCCAAAATTGGAAGGGATTTGTGCACTCCACACATTTCTACAGCACTCCCTCCAAAAGATGCTCATTTCACTAAGTTCTTCTGGTATGGCTGCCTCTACATCAATCATTTCACTTGTCCCCTTTGCTAGGGACCATGGCTACATATATCTACCAGGAGTTCCTACCAGCTTCCATCCTGAAGCATCCTGGTACATCCCACCCTCATCTGCCCCCTCTCAGCCCATCCAGCTTGGACAGCATGTTCTTTTTGTCAGTATGACCTCTAGGAGGACATTCTTTGGTCACCTCAGGTCTGTCATTTGCTTGGAAAGGTCTTATGTGGTTGTTTCAGTCTCTCCAGTCCAAGAAGCACATGGATCCTTCCTCCCTGCTCCCTGCAATGTCTTCATACTGGTCTCATCCATCATTCTTCCAAGATTGTGACAGCTACAGTATAATCTACTGTTCTCCACTCTCCCTGATTGCATCCATGATGAGTATGATGCACATCTTGCCTCCTTGTTGCAAGATACAGCAGAAGACACTCCCCATTCATCCTCTCTTCCAACAGAGCCTTGTTCATGAAGTTTTTATTTGCTTCATTGAGAGGATGGTTTGGGGGGGAAAGTTGCAATCCCCTATGCTCCTGTCACCCCACAGACCCCCAAAGCTTGACCCCTGTTGACATCTGACTCACCCTGTCCACTTTTGGATGTACTATATTGGCATCAGATTGGCACTGCCTCTCTGTCATCCCACCTTGGCCTAGAAGCAATCTCTTTGAGATGTGACATGCACAGCCTCCCCCTAATGTGATTCCAGTGCACTTTCCCAGTTCCTGACATCACTTGACTCATACTTTGATGTTCTGACTGTCTTTGACTCACCTATTGCCAATACTTACCAGTCTTTTGACTTTGCTTACTGATTCTTTGGTTTTTGGCTTGCTAATCCTTACCAATGCTTTCCAAGATGATTACCCATTGCTTAAATTCCTTACTCATCAGTTACCAATCACTTACCAAGTGTTTGCACCTTGTTTTCCAAGGGCAACACCCCTGTACTGTATATAAGTCACTGTACTTAGATAGCAAAAAAGAGAAGACATCAGAGAGCCCCTCTTGCTCGCAGTTTATCATCACTCAGTAATTCATTCAGCAGCTTCAATAGTTGAGACTTTATTAAGGGTCTAACTATCATCTACTTTGCTTATCTTTGTCTATCATCAATATACTTTGCTCCAAGCCCTCCCTGAGCTCAGTGCAGCTTAGGACATTGAATTAAGTTGTCATCCATCCTTCTGTAGGCTGACAGCAGTCTACCCTATTGCATTCTCTCGCATTCCTGCTCCTTCTTCATCAGGAGCACCCCCAACCCTCAGCACTTGTCTTTGAGTGTTGTAGCTTGCAAAAACCCTCCCAAAGAACAGGTTCTACCATCTAGGTACCACATAGGCACACCACCACTTGCTCTTTTTGTCTTTTGTGTTGGTTTTGGTTGGTTTTCACCACTGAACCACACTTTGACTCACATTGTGCACTCATGGACTTCTGATACTGAGTCCAAGCTTATTGCATTGATGACAATGATCTTTGTATAATATCTTCTGTACTGGACAAGTTTCATGTGCACAAGCAGTTGATACTCAATCATGGTGCATGATGCAGTAAGGGAAACAAGCCCATCAAGAATTGGCACATCCCCAAGTTAGAACTCATGCAGAGCATCATACCAAGTGTGAAGTGTGTTGGGGGCACCATACAATGGACCACCGATGTAACTGAACACACCCTTGTATTGGAGATCAAGACACCCACATCAACTAGCAATAACAATAACTACAATCCTCAAATTTGCTGGTACCTCAATTGTGCTGAAAAATGTAGGATGTTTGAACTTGTGACATCATTATATGAATCGAAGACTCACTCCCATGGTTGTGTGGAAGAAAAGTCCTTGGAGGTTGAGGATGGGAGTTCTGATGATGGTGACAGTGAGATCAGTGATTGTGAGGAGGCAAATCTAGTTTCCAAGATGCCAGGTCCCATGTGGCCTGTCACTGATTACTTTGCCATCTCTGCATGCCTCAGGACCCCGGATCCAGACTCCATTCCCTTCCCCTTGTGTAGTTTTATCACAGATGGTATGGTGATCAACCTTTCCTATGACCCACCCTTGCAATGCATTAGTGTTGATGGTGCTGCCAAGAAGTTTGGACTACTTGACCTCCAAGCTGCCCTTGTCAATTTTCTAAATCATGAGAAGGTGTATGGACCAAGCTCTGTGCACACTATAAGCAGGCAATGTCAGGGATCAAGCTCTTCAACCCTGCCTTATACTGATCTGCAGGTTTGGTACAAGATGCAGCTGCAGAACATGGCGATACATGATATCATGGATGTCCTCCCTGCCCAGACTCTCTTCTGTTCTCCACCTTGTGAGACCTGGACCCTTGGCCACTATGATGCAGCTATCATCAACATGGACCCCCATTTCAAATGGCCAGAGAGCAGCCTGAAAGGTTTGTGGTCCACACTACTTTTCCATGTCACTCACAAGAGTATCTTAGGTCATGTTGTTGGCCAGCTCTGTCTCCTGATGCACCCTTTTGGCAAGAGGGGGGTAAGATGGTCATGGACAGACCATTTTTTGGTCTACATACAACATTTTGACATAGCAGCTGAAGATGTGACACACCTACATATCCTTAGGTGCACAAAGAGAGTGAATGGCCAACATCTTGGCAATGTCATCCTGCTCAGTCAGGTCCAGGCATTTGCACATCTCATACCTTGCTTTGGGCAAACTGCAGATAATCAATTGATGGCATACAACTCCTTCAAGCATTCTACTGAATTCTATCTCAACAAATACTTCAACAAAAATACATACTTTGCCCTAAGTTGTTTGGACTCTCCTCCCATCTAGTCAACATACATGTTACCTTACCATATACCAGAGCTTATTACATGTTAATGTTGAAATGCATCAGTATTTTGAGTGGTGGCACCATTTTCAAACATGTGACCCTGCTTGTCAAAAACCCTCAGAAATGTCCAAAGACTCAAACAAAAACAGATATCAAACAATAGATGGTACCTACAAGCTGATCAGTTCTCTCCCCCTGCCCAAACATGGCCACACGGTTCATGTTATGGACAAGTTCACCACTTCAGAACTTGAGGGCACCATTATCTGTGAACCACAGATACAAGTTAGCTCTCCTCAGAGCCTCGGTTATGTTACAAATATTATCTTCAAGTCCTTCAGAGATACATTTACCTCCATAGCTCCCAGGTCCCTGATTGTCCCTCTGAAAACAATTCCCACATGTGTCCATAGCTATTCCACCTCCTTCAACCAGGGTGGCTTGTCAGAGGACAGCCTGGTCAGCCTATATGATGACAATAGAAAGTGCTGGAACTGGGAGCTTTGTCCACCCCCAGGCTCTGATTCACCTCCTGAGCAACCTGGGCCACTTGCCTCAGAGCTGCTGGTAGAATTGGAAAAGCTCTGCTTTGAAAAGCAAGTTGCTCTGTTTCTCAATGCTATTGGAACCACCACCAAATCCATGATGCCCAGTCTATCCAGCAAACCCCAGCATCAATGGATGGCAGACTGGAGCAGAACCAGCTTGCGAGGTTGTACAGGTTATTCCCAAAAGCCTGACCTCATCCTTGTTGATAACACCCCAGTATCCCTCAACAAGATTACATGGTTAAGTCCCAAAGTCATCACCAAGTACTCAAAGGAGTCTTTCAAGCCAGCATCCCACCTTGGGAAGATGATGGACACTAAGGCATATCTAACCCTCATTGACCAGCCCTGGAGGTGCTATGTCCTTGGATTATCAATTACTGATAGCAAACTTCTTTGACTTCACTTCTACAACCACTCTGGTGGTGCAATCTCACCCTCTATCAATATCCACACTGACACAGAAGTCTTCATATACATTGTATGTGCTGTTGCATTCAGCTCCCACTCAACCCTTGGCTTCAATTTGACCATAGAGATATCCCCCCATCCTGCACACAGCTGCAAATGCACAGTACTTGCGATACCTCTCTCCCCTTTCCCCTCTCCTGCAACACCTTCTCCTCACTTGGAGTTGGGCATCCTCCTCAGTGCAAACTCACTCCCAACTCCCACATCACCTGAACACATCCCAGCAATCAGGAGGATCCAAGTAAACAAGACTGTCTACAAGGTGCTCGATGTATTATTCTTGAGCACAGGCTTTCTAGGAAGGGGTACTGTTTGTTACCTCACATGCTACAATGGGGAATACTATGTCATCAAGGATTATTAGGTGGAGGAGTCAGAGCAGAGGACAGCCCTGCATGAATTCAACATGATGAAGCTGGTCCAGGACATCAATGGAGTTCCCAAGTTGCAACACTACTGGGTCGTTGAGGCCAAGCCAGGCATTGTTGATAAAACTGAACAATTTCATGATGAGAAGTGGCAATTGTGCATGAAGTCTTGGAGAACTCATGTGCAATTGGCTATCAAGCCATGTGCAAGGCCAATGGTAATGTTCAAGACAAAAAAGGAACTTGTTTCATGCATCTGAGATATTTTACAAAGTATGTATCCTCTTCCACTTGTAAAATCAATACTAATTGCTTTAACAGTCCAACAGCAGGCTTTCAAGAGGGGTGTCTTCCATCGACATTGTAGCATCAACAATACAATGATTGAGGACTTTGCAAATGGGTCGTGCAGCTTTCTCCTCGACTGGGAATTTGCTGTATGGGTCATGTTACAGGGGGAATATGACTTGGGTGGCACAGTAAGTACTATGCAAAACATTTTGGAACTCGAAGCTGATAGTATGCAAAGGGGACAGTCCCCTTCCTTTCAGTGAATATCCTTTGCCAACTCAAGGAAGCCATCACTAAAAGTGGAAAGACTAATGTCCCATTGATCCAGAAAAGCACCTCTCTCACCTGTGTATTCATCAATCACCCTACTACTATACACCATACATGTGCAGATGATATTGAATCCCTGTTCTATGTTTTCATCTGGATCCTCATCCTTTATGATGGGCCACTTGGCCACAAGCATCAAGATATCAGCCATGAAAAGACACTTCTTGGCTTGTGGAGTGAAAAGGTGGCTGAAGATCTCAAAATCACCAGATGCGCCAAGTTCACATTCCTTAATGACCCATCTGAATCAAGGCTGGATTCCAAGGTCTTGCAATATTTTCAAGATCTGATCCCTCTGGCTAACGAGTGGCATGTATTGCTTGGGTGGTCCCTGCTGAGCAGAACTGCAGTGCAGTTCTCTGACATTATCTCCCTTTTTGATTGTTTCTTGGCCAGCATGCCATATGAGAAACCACTGGAGATGACAAATGCATTCCAGCAGATCATTGCCCAGCACAAAGCACTTAATTCAAGCATGCATCCAAGTCAGGAGAACAATATGGATGTTATGTCTTCTAAATGCCTTTGTGAAGAGGTAAGGAGCATGGATAACCCTCCTATACCCAATAAATGCTTCAAAGGCATGTAGTCTTAGCATGAATTTTATGTTTAGTTCACGTTCTGTATGTTATGTGTAAAGTGTTTCAATTCATTTGCAGTGGGTAACCATCTCTGCACATTGTTTCATTTTACATCTCATGATGAACCTGTCAATGTTTATATGGATTCACAAGATGTCATTTCATTGTGGTCCCCATGCTTCCATCTTATACTGTTCTCTGTTTAACTGCTTGTACCTTCAGATGTCCACCCAATCTGGAACAATCCTGCTGAAAAAGAAGGATAGCAAAAAAGCCAAATGATGACCAGAGGCTGACAGAAGCACTTGACCTGCAAAAAACAAGTGTCTAGGAAGCCCACCCATTGATCTCAAAGAGTCTCAGTCTGTTGCCACAGTGGGACTATGTTGTAGTGGAAGGGCAGGGGCAGGTTCAGGTGGAAGGGCCAAGCAATTGGAGTGGATTGGTACTGCCCTTGAAGGCTGAGCTACATGGCCATGAAAGTTGATGGATCTCCCCAACAATTCCATTGTAAATCCTCTTGCACCTCCACCCACTTGGCAGAAAAAACCAAAGCTCAGTTCTAGTTATTTGCAAATATCAAGCTAACTGCTTGCAAAGTCCAATGTTGCCCCACCACCCTACACACCTCCCATTGTGAATGGTCCTAGCCCAGCTGATATGCCTCTGGTGAGTGTCTTTTCATACTGATATGCAATGTTCATTTCAGAATCCCATCCCTCAGTCTTCAACAGCAGTAGCAACACCTGTCTTCCATCAGTGCCCCACAGACTCCCATCACTTTGGTTTCAGTGTTCTGGCTCAACAGCCAGGTCATATCATGCCTCCCAGGATGGAACCTGACCTTCAAGTGCTCAATAATCCTTATATTGCCATGATTTGGGGAGACCAAGTTCCCAGTAATACATCTCATCTGCCAACACCCCAGCCCAACTACCAGTCTCGGTTTATCCCCCACCAGCCACCTGCTACTGTCCCTGACTCTTGTATCAACCCCTCCCTTGATAGCTTGCTCTCATCGAGACAAACTTTGGCAACTGCTGACATTCGCCACAAGAGTTTGGAGAAGCTGTCATCAGAGGGCTCCTCAGAAGAGGAGTCAGAGTCCTTGAGTAATAACCCATCAGACACAGAGGCTGGTGAGGTCTCTGGCAATGAGTTCAACAAAGATGAGGATGATGCATTTGGATGGGGTGCAACAAATCTTAGGCAATCAACTCATCCTGGTATGTGTCAGAGGTTATTATGGTATTGGCTCAACATTCTTTGTCAGGCTTCTCCAAAGAAACAACAACAAGCAATCCTATTCACCACAATTCCTTACCCTCCTGACCACAAGTTTCAGTACTCATGCAATGAGGATGACAATGCAGCTCTGTGAAGCTTACAATCCAAGGACAAGGCTCAGCCAGAGGTACAAAAATGCCATTCCTGCTAGCTTTATTTATTCAGATTGTTATTTTAGGGTTCCCAACATGGTGCTGTCATCGATGTTCTTGAATGCCACCATCACACTAATGGCCATCCTGTTCCTGATCATGATCTTCTGACCCTTGTGCATGACTTGGTCAACAAAGTATCTCAGCATGCCAGAGCCCCTCATAACTCCAAGAAAGCTAAGGATGAGGGCCCATTGCCTTCACAACTGAGATTTTACAAGGCAGTATGGAAGGACTGTCTTGAAGACACTAAGCAAGAATGCAGGGCTGCACATGCACTTTCTAACCCATTCCCATCAAAATCTCATGACCTCAACCTCTCCATAACTGAGGTGCTTGTCACTGCTGTCATTGAGTGGAATCAATGCAGTGTGCAATTTGAAGATGGTGAGTAACAATATTTTCGCTTTATACATGTCTTGTTATCCTAACTTTATAGGTTACTGGCCTGACCACAAGCAAGATATGGTGTGCCTCATAAGTAGTCCCATCTTTCAGTTACAGCTACTGACATACTGCTGGTAGCTCCTTGGTGATATATCTACCTGGTGTTTGGAATTGAAGTCAGTTATGCTGGCAACCATGCCATCTGCATTCAACCTTATCCCTCCTTCTGATGTTGCACCATGGGTTTGTGTACAATGGATAGAGACTGCTGCCACAAAGCTCCTTGACAACTCACATTTCCTGCAAGATGGTTTCGATGAGAATGTACGTTCACATGGTTTGTTGTCTGCACTACTAACAGATTGGTTTATCAGGGAAAAACCAGGAATTTCACTCACCCTGCCCTCAAGGAAGCTGTCATACAATTCTACTATACTGGGACCTATTGAATCGCAGATAAGCGTCCTGAGTCCTTCAACAATTCAGTTCCCCTTTCCTGTCTGGCTTTCATCACAGCTGTGGTGAGTTATTTTACACCCCAAGTCACTGCAACTCAAACTTTTCTCACAGTATCATTGTGTGTT